AGTGCCAGGCAAAGGAATTAAAGCTTTACCCTGAGGTTGGTGAGGAGCTATGGAAGATTTTTAAGCAGAGGTGCAGCATGATCTTTCTGTAGATTCTTCCAGTGTCAAGTGTTCTTGGCAATGCCAGGAGAGGCTGAGGTACCCTGCCTGTAGCGGGTGTGTGAGGGCCAGGTGGCTGCCGTCAGAACCCCTGCTCATCTCCATGCTTCTCCATTATCCGTGTCTTGCTTAATTATTTGTATATTCTAGATTCAGTGTGTCTGTGGCTTGTCTCATCTCCCTGATAGAAGCATAAGCCTCCTGTTGTGTGAACACAACATTTTCCCCTCATACTCCCTCTTCCACACACATACCTAACATAGAATGAAGCATATAGTAGCTATTCCAATAAGTACTGTTCAGTTGAAATTTGAATCAAGCTCTCTGGGGATATAAAATTTAGTACAACTAAAAAAAAAAAAAGTACTGCTGATCCCTAGAGTGAATCACCATCTATACATGACTCTGTGGAATGAAAGGTGAGTCTAAGTAGTTGGGATATGGATTGTTTACCAACATATTATCTGAGTTAAAAAAAGTTCTGTTATGGCCAGGCATGGTGGCGCACACCTTTAGTCCCAGCACTTGGGAGGCAGAGGCAGGCAGATCATTGTGAGTTCAAGGCCAGCCTGGTCTACATAGTGAGTTCAGGTCAGCTGGGACTACAAGGAGACCCTGTCTCAAAAAAAAGACAAAAAAAACACAAAAAACTGTTATAGGCTGGGTATGGTGGCACATGCCTTTAATCCCAGCATTCTGGAGGCAGAGGCAGGTGGATCTCTGTAAGTTTAAGGTCAGCCTGGTCTTCATAGAGTTCCAGGCCAGCTGGGGCTACAGGGAGACCCTGTCTCAAAAAGACAAAAAAAAAAAAAAAAGTTCTGTTATTAGTTGTATACTCAATAATAAAGATGAAGTTGGAACTGAAAGCTGACTACAACCATTTAAACTGTATTGCAGTAGGAGTTACACAGAGGGCTAGAGAGATGGCTCAGTAACTAAGTGCTTTTCTGCTCTTCTAGAGTACTTGAGCGTTCCTTTCCCAGCACCCACATGGGGTGGCTCTCAACTGCCTGTAACTCCAACACAGGGAACACACAGAGTCTTGCAGAGGATCCAGATTTAGTTCCCAGCACTCATCGGTGGCTAACAAGTCTCTAACTCTAGTTCCAGGGGGTCTGAAGCCCTCTTCTGGACTCCCAAGAGCATTATATGACATGAGTACAGTGCAGGCAAAACACACACACACACACACAGCAGAGACGGTAGGATACAAGTCTTAGGCCAGCCTGGACTACGTAGTGAATTCCAGACCAGCCAGGGCTACATAGGAAGATAGTGTCTCAAAAAAGAAAAGTCAAGAATATATAAGAACCCTGAATTCCTTTTTCTGTATGGCCTCTTTGTTTTTAATGCTTGCTCATTTGTCTCACTATAGCCCAGGCTGGCCTCTTAACTCAGCATCCTCCTGCCTCTGCCTCTGCCTCTACCTGTGCTTTCTAAGTACCAGAAAGGATCACAGGCATGCACCATCTCACCCTGTTCTTAATTATTTTTCAGATAGAGTCTTGCTGTATATCCCAGGCTGGCCTTGAACCAGAGGTCCCCCTGCTTCAGCCTTCTGAGTGTCTGTTTCTCCTTTAACTTTTACAACAAGGCTTGGTATGCCAGGAAAAAGGAAATAGGATAGCTACCATGAATTGTTTCTGATGGCAGAAAAACAAGGAAATGGAATGGTTTCCTGTGTAGACACAGATCTGAGTCAAGTTCTCTTATGAGCATCCCTGCAATGCAGTTGTGACTCTTTTGACTAATGGAACATTCAGCCAATAAAGGTCATTACACATTGTGAACTGTGAAATTTTCTCTATCAAGGATAGCTGTACATATAAAATGCACACATTTTAAGTGTACAGTTTGCTGACTTTTGGTGTCCATATTTTACACTCATTTAACCATCATCCCAAGCAACAGTTAGATTTTTTTTTCAGTAGTCATGAGGATTGAACCTAGGGCCTTGAACATACTAGTCAAGTGTTCTACCACTGAGCTATATCCCCAGCTTTTTGTTTTGTTTTGTTTTTGAGACAGGGTCTCATTTAGTCCAATTGGCCTTGAACACTTGATCTTTTTTCTTCCGTTTCCCACGTGCTAGGATTACAGGTGTGTGCCACCAAACCTGGTCTTAGGTAATTTCAGTCACTCTGGAACATGTTTCTTTTTTTTGTTTTTATGTGTATGAGTGTATTGTCTGCATGTATGTAAGTGCATCTGTGTCATGCAGTGCCCTTGGAGGACAGAAGACCACTGTAGTTACGGATGGCTATTAGCCACCATGTGTGTGCTGGGATTTAAACCTAGGTCTTTTGCAAAAGCATCCAGTGTTCTTAACCACTGAGCCATCTCTCCAGCCCTATTTTTGTTTTATGTGTATGAGTGTGTTGCCTGCATGTATGTAAGTGCACCTGTTTCATGCAATGCCTGAAGGTAGGTCAGAAGAGGGTGTCAGATCCTTTGGAACTAGAGTTATGGATAGTTCTTAGTTGCCATGTGGGTGCTAGGAATCAAACCCGGGTCCTCTGCAAGAAGAGCCAGTGCTCTTAACTGCTGAGCCATCTCTCCAGCCCCCTCTTTTTTCTGGTCTTTTTGAGACAGGGTCTCTTATAGCCCCAGCTGGCCTGGAACTCACAATGTAGACCAGGCTGGCCTCAAACTCACAGAGCTTCACTTGTCTCTGCCTCCCAAGGGGTGGGTAAAGGTATGTGCCTGGCTTCTCTTTTTTCTTTTAATTTTTTTATGTGTGTGTTTTGTCTGCATGTATGTAAGTGTACCTATGTGTGCAGTGCCCCTAGTGGCCAAAAAAGGGTGCTGGATCCTCTGGAACTGGAGTTACTGACCGTTGTTAACCACCATGTGGGTGCTGGGGACCAAACCCAGGTCCCCTGCAGAACAGTTAGTGCTCTTAACCACTGAGCCACCTCTCCAGGCTTGGAACATACTTCTTTTTTTTTATTATTTATTTATTATTTTTATTTTATGTGTATGCATGTATTGCCTGCATGTGTGTAAGTGCACCCATGTTGTGCAGTGCCCCTGGAGGTCAGAAGAGGCTATCGGATCCCCTGGGACTGGAGTTACGGACAGTTGTTAGCTGCCATGTGGGTGCTGGGATTCAAACCCAGGTCTTCTGCAAGAGACCAGTGTTCTTAACCACTGAGCCATCTCTCCAGCCCCACATACTTCTTTTTTTAAAAAATATTTTATTATTTTTATTTTATGTGTATGAGTGTATTGCCTGCATGTATGTGAGTGCACCCATGTCCTGTAATGTCACAGAGGTCAGAAGAGGGCTTCAGATTCCCCTGGAACTGGGGTTAAGGATGGTTTGTAGCCACCATGTGGGTGCTGGGAATTGAACCTGGGTCCTCTGCAAGAGCAGTCAGTGCTCTTAACACTGAACCATCTCTCCAGCCCTGGAACATACTTCTTATATAGCCTTTTACACGTGGTAATCTCCAGCCTACCCAGGCAGTGTTGTGTGTGATTTCTAGAACTCCTGTTCTAGAGTTCATGTAAATGGAATCACTTGAGTTATGCTTTTGTGTCTATCCCAGTCAAGGTTTTGCTGGCAGTTAGTTGAGTATTTACCCGCCTCTACCTTCCTCAACTTGCCCACAAATGCATTGGGCTTTTCACCACCTCTGAGAAGGTGTGCTTTACTGGCCCAATTAACTTGAAACTTACTCCATCTTCTGATGTTTCTAAGTAAAAAAGGTTTAGAGCATAAAAGGAGCAGCAAATTAAATGCCATTTTCCCCATTTGTGCCCCTGGTGGTGTTCTAATGACTGTAGATTATTCCCTCCCTGCCACATGGGGCCTCCTGTAGATAATAGAGGATTTGCAAGGAAAGTGTCTGGGAGACACAAGGCTGTGCCCCTCACCCCCAATCCATTAGGTCATGAGACTAAGGTTTCCTCTGTAAATCCTGAATGTATTAGTGGCAACTGGGTTGAAGGTCAAATGTCAAATACTCTGGTGTGATGGGAGAGGACATCTGTGGCTAATTAGACCACTGATTGCCTAAACAGCATGGGGAAGTACAGAATCTGCCTTCAGCTCTACACCAATGGGGAGCCAGCTCCCCATTCAGAAGTCTGCTTCCTGAGGGTGATGAAAGACATTGAAGAAGGCTCATGCTCAGTAGGAGCAAGGCCTCCCCCCAGTTCAGCATAAACAGGTCATGGTGTGGGCCACTGGTCCTGCTTTCATCAGAAGGGTCAGAGTGAGCCAGGGGCCAATGTCTTCATCCTCTGCTCCCTTTGAATTTAATCCTTTACTTTGGAGATACACGTTACACCCACACAGATCCACCCAGCTTTTTTCTTACTATGAACTTATTTCTTGAGTGACCCTCAGTTTGTATTAAGGTATTCAGAAGCTTCAATTAATATGCACCAAGGTTTTAGGACATTTATTCATTAATCCCTTTATTGCAGTTGACAAATATTTATTAACTGCCATGTTGCAAGTAATAGTGCCATTGTGGAGCCCCCCAAAGGTCAACTAATGATCTTTGCGAGAAAGATCAGTAGCAGTAGTATGGCCTGGCATGTGCAAGGTCCTGGATATGATCCCCAGCCCTGGAAAGAACAGAAACAAAGATCAGTAATATGTTGTTTCCTAGCTGAGGTCTGGCAGGCTGTGGGGCTTGTAAGCATTAAGTACCATATGTGGGTGGCCTAAGGATTATGGAAGAAAGCTTCACGGAACAGGTTCCTTTGGAGCTGCAACTTACCAGAAAAAGGAGATTTTGAATAGATGGAGGTGAGGCTGGGAACTTATTCCAGAGAAAAACAGAACAGGGAGAGACTCTGGATGGATGGTAGCATTCTACATTGTAGCATATTGTCTCTCGGGCAGGTGACTTCCTGACTGAGAGCCTCACTTTCCCCTTGCTTCACAGATCAATGAGCTGAGCAATGTTCCTGTCCCTGTCATGCTAATGCCAGATGACTTCAAAGCCTACAGCAAGATCAAGGTGGACAATCATCTCTTCAATAAGTAAGTGGTCTCCTGGGTGGGATTACGTTTTGTGGACAGTTCTTTTCTTCTTCAAGCTTCTAAAACCTCATGCATGGGGAACCAATCAAGCACCTGACATTGTATCGTAAGCATACGTGCTGAAGAGTTGACAAATAGGCCTGGAAAATGCGTTTATTAATGTGTTGCCCCCCTGCATTGCCTCATCATCCCACTCCATTAGCAGCCTATCTCCAGTGTCCCTTGGGGCATGTGACTGGGCCCCAGGTGATTCATCTAGGGTCAGCTCTGGAGAAGCAGGCTGCTGGGAGCTGAGGTATCTGGTGTGCAGCTGCAGCAGGGGCTCTGTCTTATCCGGGTCTGAGGCAGGAAGCTGCTGGGCTTCCTGGCCTGGGATGTAGCCAAACTTTTTGTTCTCCCACCTGTGTGCAAACCACAAGCTTAACATAGTATTGAAAGATACTACCCAAAGGTCATTTTTGACCTTGTGGCTTCTTGGACCAATGTCTGGAGGTTGTCTTGATATTTTTGGAGACCTTCCAGCAGTCATCTCTTGCCTAGCACAGTTGGGGGCCTGCTCTAAGCCCTTGTTTTGTTTGTTAGTCCATATTTTGAGACAGGGTTTGTCTGTATAGTAACAGCTTGGCCTGCAACGCACTATATAGACCAGGGTGGCCTTGAACTTACAGTGATCCTCCTGCCTTTGCCTTCTAAGTGCTGGGATTACAGGTGTATGTCACCATGGCATACCTGCTAGCTTAGTCCAGGCTGGCCTGGATCTCACTCTATAATCTAAAATGGCCTCAAACTCTTGGTAATCTTCCTGCCTCTACCTCTCTCTCTCCAAGTGCTGAGGGTTACAGTTGCAAGTCACCACTCCTGGCTTCTGAGCCTTTTTGAGGACGTAATTTTACATCTCACCATGGGCTACCCACCCCAGAAACTTTGGGTGTTCCCATCCTGCTCTTCTGCATGTTCCTCCTGGGTCTGTTCTCCTTGTCCTGTGGTCCACCACCTCACCAGCTGGGCTGTCACCCCACCTTTCTCAGACTGTTAACCCAGAAGAAAAGCTTGATTCCAGAACATCTCTTAGTGGCCTCTTTCTGCCATAGTAAGTAATAACATCTTGTTCTAGAAGCTGTCTCTTCAGAATTGCCACCTCCTAAGTGGCCACCTAAGGAAGGAGAGGCAGCCCTCCTCCTCCAGGCAGGCAAAGGTGGTAGTGTTCCCCGAAGTCAGGGCTCCAGGAGCAGGCATTGTGCCCCCTTCCCTTTGGTCCCACTTCATATCTTGTCTCGAGCAGAGTGCCTGATCTCTTTTCTTTCATCTTCATTGTTTTTGTCCCTTTCAACAGCTGTTTATGTGATAAGGCCTGTAAATAGGCTTCAGGAGGAGCCTTTCATTTTTATTTTCAGGAAGTCTGTAATCTTAGACTAGCCAGAGCAGCTTCTGTGTAGATGAGAGCCCTTGGCAGAGTACCACTGTAAAGATGGAGGCTTGGAAAGAACCTTTATTTCCTGGTGGTTCTTTCCCTTTCTAGGCGTCTGAGTTGACTAAGGAGTGGCAAGGCTTTGTAAAGACATAATCCCAGGGCTGGGAACATATAACTCAGTAGTGGCGCACTTGCCATATGCCCCCAAAAACATATTCCCAGTCAGCTGACTGCAGACCTCGTCAATACAAACCACCTATAGGGTTTTGTTTCTTTGGGTTTTTGTTTTGTTTTGTTTTGTTTTGTTTGAGGCAGCTTCTCACTATGTACGTCAGGCTATCCTGATGTCAGGAACTCATTAGGTAGCCTAGTTTTGCCTTGAACTTTCAGCATTCTGCCTACCTTAGTCTCCTGAGTGCTAGCATTACAGGTGAGCATTACCATGCCTGGCTCAAAGCACTTTAGCTTCATCTCAGTGGACACCTAGGCAGGGCTTCCTTGATGTAGCCATTTTCAGGATGTTTCCATGGATACATCCTAGAGGAGAGTCACCTTTTTTTGTTGTTGTTGTTGATTGTTTTTTGACAGGGCCTCCCTAGTCACAGCCTACCTGGAAGTCACGATGTAAACCAGGGTGGCCTTGATCTTGCAGAGAGCCACCTGTCTCTGCCTCCTGAGGGCTGGGATTAAAGATACATGCCACCATGCCCCACGTGAGAGTCCCCCCTCTTTTGGTGGGGTCATTTTGAGACACGGTCTCCCTGTAGCCCAAGCTAGCTGTCCCAAAACTCACTATGTAGACCAGGCTGGCCTTGAACTCACAGAGATCCGGCCTGCCTCTGTCTCCTGAGAGTCCCCTTTTGATGAGAAAGATCTTTCTAGACAGTTCCATTCCCATCAGGTGCTCACATGTGCTGCGAGGCAGATCTACACCAGTAGGTGTTCACATGTGTTGTGAACAGGTGCTTACATGTGTTGTGAGAATGACCTACACCATGTCACTTCCCAGTAGTTTGTTTTTTCCTTTAAGTTTTACTTAAGGACAATATACAGAAAGTATGCAAATCCTCTGTGTATGTGGCTAGATGAATTTTTACAGAGTGAATTTACAAAGTAAAGATGAATTTCTGTATGCCCAGAATCACCTATAGTGTTTTAAAAACACAGATTTTGAGATTTGCCTTCAGAGTTCCCTATAGCCCCAGCTGTCCTGGAACTCACTATGTAGACCAGGCTGGCCTTGAACTCACAGAGATCCACCTGCCTCTGCCTCCTGAGTGCTGGGATTAAAGATGTGTGCCACCACGCCCGGCTATATTTATTATTTTTATTTTGTGTGTATGAGTGTATTGCCTGCATGTAGGTAGGTGCACTCATGTTGTGCAGTGCCCACGGAGGTCAGAAAAGGGTGTTGGATCCCCTGGAACTGGAGTTATGGATGGTTGTTAGCTGCCATGTGGGTCCTGGTAATCAAACCTGGGTCCTCTGCAAGAGCATTCAGTGCTCTTAGTCACTGAACCATCTCTCTAGCCCCTAGAAACCTTTTTTAAGCATGGAAGATTCTTCAGCACCAGGATGTCTATGGGTCACCCTTTGAAGGGTTCTGGTGTCAGAGTCAAGCTGAGTAGGGGCAGTTCACAAAGCATGTCTCTGCTTCCCCCTAGGGAGAACCTCCCCAGCCGCTTCAAGTTCAAGGAGTACTGCCCCATGGTGTTCCGAAACCTCCGGGAGAGGTTTGGGATTGATGATCAGGATTACCAGGTACCGGGCTGTCTTGGCACAACCGGAGGGTTCAGGGGTGATGGGATCAGGAAGCCACAAGACCAGTAGAGGGGAAAAGTGTCAGCTGTCCTTGAGCTGCTGCATCTTCCTGTCTCTGCTTGCTCCAGTGCCAGCAGTCTGCCCAGGACTGGAGGACTCTTAGAGGGGCAGGGCCTTCAAGGAGCTTCTGAGGATGCCTCACAGGCTCCTGCCCCTGGGAAGGAGAGCAGCGGGAGGGAGAGGGCTATGTGGAAGCTGCTTCATTTCAGTCTGACATTCCCAGTCTAGGCTGAAGAACCCTCTCCTTCGTAGTTTGACTTAAAAGAGAATTGTTGCCAGCGAGAGATGAGGCCTCTTAAAGCAGATAAGACAGATTAGAAAAGGAAGACTTCAAGGGTAGTGTGACTACTGCCAGGTATGAGTGTCACCTTCTCAACTTGACCCTGTCCTTGTGGTGGGAGTGGGGTAGGCATAGCAGAGCAACTGCCCCTTTCAGGGCATTATACTGTTTTAGAAATCATTGGCCTATTAGGGAAGATCAGTCCCAATATCAGGACAGTAGAGTCTGACTTAGAGTCTGTGGCTTCTGTGCCTTCTCCACCTCACACTTGGAGCTCCTTCTTTCGTGGCAGACAGCCTAGTAGTAAAAGTGGAAGGGTTTGTCTTTCCTCTGAAGCAGTAGACTATAACTGACTTCTGTCATCCTTGGGGACAGCACAGTGAGATTAAATGGATGCCTAAATCCAGAAAGACATTGTTGGAGTAAACCTTACAGAGTTCACAGGAGTGGAATGGGCCTCGGGGACCTCCCCACCAGGGCTTGAATGCAGAGATAAGTGTCATGATGAGGAACAAGTTGAAGACAAGTCCATGGCTGAGAAGTACTGAGGTCCCTCCAGCTCCTCTGCTAGAACCACACCCTAAGTTATGACCTAAATAGAATCTTATTTTCTGAAAATTTCTTGCCATTTTTGCCACCCCAAGTTGTTGGACATCTTCCCTCCACTGTGGTTCCTTCCCTGCCCCTCAGCCATCTTTCCCCATCTTCTCCATGTTTGCATTGTGCCTCTCATAGCCTGTGGGCACAGCACTGTGCTGTGCGCAAAGCTGGAATGAGGGCAGGGAGGTTGCTGTTCAGGCAGGGGACTCTTACTCATGGGCTACTGGTGATTGCTAGACATGAGGCTGCAGAGCCCTACCTCCACCAGGCTTGCTGCCCACCTAGCTTACTGGTACAGGGCCAGGCAGGGAGAGAGGGCAATCACATAGCCTATTCAACTACTTCTGGAGTGGGGACTCCATGTTTTAGGGGTGCTCCTCTCCTTTAATTTAGCACCTTTGCCAAAGACTGTCCAGAGCTCCTTAGCTCTTCCCGCTGTTTCCTCCATGAAGGGAGGACTGCCCTCCACAGGGTTTTGTGAGGTTGAATTAAGTGACCAAGTAGAATATCAGTTAGACTAAGAAAGGGCTTGAAGAGGAGGCATTTCTGTGAGCAGATCCTGTGGGATATGTTCCTGGGAGCCTGGACAGCTGGGATCTCCCCTTAGCCTTGCCACATACCCTTGCTCCATTCACCTGCCCCTACCCTCCTCAGGCTTCTCTGTCTGAGCATAATGGGACAGGGCCTTGAGGAGGAGCAGAGCCAGAGCCAGACGTGGCACTACCTTCCAGCCTGCACAGAAGAACAGGGTCGACATGAGGGGAGATATTGGGAAGAGAGATAAGACAAACTTCTCACCTTTTTCCTACATCAGAATCAATATAGCGAAGAGAAGCAACTGCATTCATTGCCTCCTGTTATAGGCCTCATGTTTTTCCTAAGCTTGGTCTTTGTTATCCAGGAAACTGGAATAGTCCTCTTGGTCTGCCTACCTATGTTCTAAGTGGAGAAACTCAAGGACCAAGAGGTTAACTGGTGCCGGGCGTGGTGGCGTACGCCTTTAATCCCAGCACTCGGGAGGCAAAAGCAGGTGGATCTCTGTGAGTTCAAGGCCAGCCTGGTCTATGTAGTTTCAGGCCAGCTGGGGCTACAGGGAGACCCTGTCATTAAAAAAAAAAAAAAAAAAAAAAAAAAAAAAAGAGAAAACTGACTCATTCAAGGTCATATTGCTTATAAGGGTCGGAATTAGAACCCTGTCCCCTCACACTGAGGCAGTTCTAGTTGTTAGTATTGCTTCAGGCTCAGAATGAAAGCACACTTCACAGAGCCTAGTCTGGCATCAAAGGCAGGTGGTGGTGAACAACTCTCATCACTCTGGAGAAAGACTTTAGAGAAGGATGTGAATACCCAAAGAGAAAAGGGGGTAGGTAAGGTCCCCTCTGGAGTCCTCTGTTTTGGTGTTTGTTGGCCTTTGAGCAATTCAGCCTGTAATAGAAGACTGAGTCACAGTCAAAAGTCACAGTGCTGAGGCATTAGCTCAGCAGTAGAATACTGACTTGCCCATCATATGCATAGCCCTGGGTTCAATTGTCAGCATAGGAAAGAAAAACGAAAATACTGTTTTCTCCCTCAAGACCTGCTGTTTTTGTCTTGATTCCTTAGAACTCAGTGACACGAAGTGCCCCTATCAACAGTGACAGCCAGGGCCGGTGTGGCACACGTTTTCTTACCACCTATGATCGGCGTTTTGTCATCAAGACTGTATCAAGTGAGGATGTGGCTGAGATGCACAATATCTTAAAGAAATACCACCAGGTATGGTGAGTCCCAAGCCCGGGCTGTGGAGGATGGGTTGAAGGAGGGAAAGAGAGCTTTGCAGGGAGGGCTGGGTCCTTTCTAATAATGGCAGGTGCTTCCTAATGCATTAGTTCTTTTCTCATTGCTATGACAAAGCACCTGGCAGAAAAGCTTAGAGGAGGAAAGATCTGGGGCCAGCAAGATGGCTCAGCAGGTAAAGGCACTTGCTACCAAGCCTGACAACCTGAGTTTGAACCCTGGACCCACATAGCAGAAAGAGAGAGCCAACTCCTGCACTTTGTCCTCTGACCTCTACATGTACTCTATAAGCATGCACAAAGGTGGGTACATGAACACACATGTACTATATAAATGTGATAAAAATAAAACATTTTTAAAAGAGAAAAGATTTATTTTGATTCATGACTTCAGAGGGTCAAGTCTCTTGGCCCCCTTCACTTGGACAGGAACACCTATTCTTTAAGTCTGAGGAACCCCCATTACTTCACAGAACCGTTTTGAAAACCACTGGCACAGAGGTAGAACCCCAGGTAGCCAAGAGTAGTTTGGCCTGGGAGAATCCCATCCTTCCGGTACTGTCCTGCTCCTTAGCTTTCCCTCTCTCCTGCTTCTGTTCTAGTTCATAGTGGAGTGTCATGGCAACACCCTTTTGCCACAGTTCCTGGGCATGTACCGCCTAACTGTGGATGGTGTGGAAACCTACATGGTGGTTACCAGGAATGTGTTCAGCCATCGGCTTACTGTACACCGAAAATATGACCTCAAGGTAAAGGGCTCTGTGTTTCCCTGTGTGGTGGCCATGCTCTGTCAGTCTGGGAGAGGCTGTTCTTCCAGCTTCACATACTTGGAGAGCTGGAGCACACGTGTTAACATAAACAGATGACTCCAGAGTTGATATACCTACCTCTTGTAGACCAAAGGCTGAAGTGTAAGTGAGAGTAATAAAGAGGTTGGTTAAGCCCTGAGTGCACCATATGTATGTAACAGTTGGTGCTCTTCAGCGCCTTTCTGGGATATACACACCAAGGGCAGCAGGATGGGGGCAGGCTATGCTGACACACATACTCTGGCGTATGTCCAGGCCCCGTGCAATGATAGTGCAAATGCATTTCTAGACATCAAGAAGAATGCACTGTGGCTGTGAACCAGAGTACTCTGTTCTTGAATGAGGCTTTCTGACTTGTCACCTAGCACTGCTGTCTCCTCCTTCTGTTGCAAGGACAAAACTTGTTTCCTTTGCATTCCCACCTTGCCTGTTCCTCCCTTCTCCTGCTATCCAGGAGTTCATGTATACTATCTGAACAGCTTCCCTTTAGCAGCCCTGTGCTTCTCCCTACCTCCTCCTCCCACACAGAAATGCTTCCTACTTCCATTCTGGAAGTAGGCCTGCCACCACATCACCCTAGTCTAGGCCCAGCCCTGTGTTACAGGCTCTCAGAGTGCCTCCTCCCTGCACCATTTAGCACCATTGTAATGAGTGATGTGGCCACAGCTATCAGGAAAGTTGCATAAGGGTGGGGACTGAGATCTCCAGTGCAGTCCTCTGCTGAGTACCTTCCATGTCTCTTGTTCCTAGTCAGAGCTTTAGAAGTGCCTATGCTAGAGTGAGTGAGCCAGTTGCTGCCTCCTAGCTCCTCTGGGACATTAACCAGCCTACTTCCATTTACCTGCTAACTGTCCCCAGTGCCTAGTATACGTTTGTTTATTCAAAGGGGTTTGTCTTAGGGGCTGGGGAGATGGCTCAGTGGGTAAAATACTTACTGCTCAAGCATGAGGACCTGAGTGCAGTCCATCTAAAAGCCAGATGTGAGAGTGTGCACCTCTAATCCCAGCACTTGAGAGGCAAAGACAGGAAGCTCTCTGGGCTTGCTTGCCACCCAGTCTAGCTAACTTAGTGAGCTCCAGTGCAGTGAGAGACACCATCTCAAAAAAGGTAGAGAATGATTGAGGAAGACACCTGAAGTCCACCTCTGGCCTTACACAAACATACCATACACACTGGCACACATGTGTGTCTGAAAAACGAGCTGGCCTTGCTTGGCTGGCCCTCTTCTGACGGCTCTTATCCTTTCAGGGTTCTACTGTTGCCAGAGAAGCAAGTGACAAGGAGAAGGTATGCCAATGCTGAGCAAGTGTGACAGGGTCACTTGGAATTGGTAACATCTGTTGGCGTCCTGTCATTGCCCCCCTGTAACCCCCAGCCCAGCTCCCAGACATGCATTTGTCACCATGAAATGTTCTGTCACTAAACACCTGCCTTCCTTAGCACAGGCTTGGTCCCCAGCCTTTTACTTCCACCTTTGCTGGGTTCTTTGTGGTTCTGCTTGAATGGAGATAGTCCATTCTGAATTAGTTAGTGGCCCCCTGAGCCCTAACATAACCCACACTCAGCAGGAAAGGATCCTTTGGTCAGTCTTCACTGCCACATGTTTGCTGTCCCTGCTTGTCTCACACCTGGGTCTGTAGGCTCCTGTGCTGTCAGCTGAGCGGGCTGAGCATCTTGTGCTGAAGACCCTTCCCCTTGGGCCAGGTGTGGTGACTCATGCCTTTAAGCCCAAAAGAAGCAGGTGTATCTCTCAGAGTTCAGGGCCATCCTGGTCTACATAGTGAGTTCCAGGCCAGCTAGGGCTACAGTGAGATCCTGTTTCAAAAAACAAAAAAAAGACCCTTCCCCTTTCTGCACACTGCTCTCAGCAAAACAGCTCATTTCTCCTGGGCAAGTGAGTCAGCCTGCCTAACCTACCATTGCTATTGCTTTCCCAGGCCAAGGACTTGCCAACATTCAAGGACAATGACTTCCTCAATGAAGGACAGAAGCTGCATGTGGGAGAGGAAAGTAAAAAGAATTTCCTGGAGAAACTTAAGCGGGATGTTGAGGTATTTACTAACCTTCTTCTTAATCCTGTACCCAAAGCAGGAGTCTTTCTCAGAAATATGGAACCATGGGGCTGGAGAGATGGCTCAGTGGTTAAGAGCACTAGCTGCTCTTGCAGAAAACCAGGTTCAAATCCTAGCACACACATGGTTGCTAACAATCATCCATAACTCCAGTCCCAGGGGATTGGACATCCTCTTCTGACCTCCTTGGGCACTGCATGACACATGCAAGCAATACACGCATACACATAAAAATAGGATTTTTTAAAAAAAAGAAAAATGGAACACACTCTTTTTCAGGAGTGCAGTGAAATGTGTGGTAGTGTGAGCAGTGTCTGCACTTGTGCAGTGGGCATTCCATTGGGGCATACTATTGTGCCAGTGGGGCATTTGTAACCCAGTTTGGAATGCTTCTCCCATCTCCTTACTGGTCTATTCTCACACATGGTGCTCCCATAGTGGAAGAGCATCCAGCATTAGAGTGGCAGGAAAGCAGCTGTTAAGATCCTCCAACCAGGCTTTCTCAGGCTTTGATCCTCCACGTCCCTAGAAACTTCCTGGTTATAATGGGACTTCAATAGAGAAGTTGTTCCAAGAGTGGATAGGTGATCAGGTGAAAGCTACTAAATATGTTTTTCAGATTACTGATATTCAGTGTCTACTTTTTTTTTTTTTTTGATCTTTTTGAGACAGGTTCTCCCTGTAGCTCCAGCTGTTCTGGAATTCACTTTGTAGACCAGGCTGGCCTTGAACTCACAGAGATCCACCTGCCTGTGCCTCTGCCTCCAAAGTGCTGGGACTAAAGGTGTGTGCCACCACGCCTGGCTCAGTGTCTACTTTTTTTAATTGAATCTTTACCAATTTCCTATAATATATTTTGATCATATTTAGACCCCCCTCCTCTAACTGCACCCCTCTTATAGCTTCCCCACTGGATTTCATGTACTGTACTGTGTCATATATATTAAGGCCTGTTGGGTCAGTTTTGTGTCCCTGAGTGTCCTTTGGTGTGTGTCCATCCACTGGAGCCTGGTCAATGTCTACTTTTTGTGAAGCTGGAGATTGAGCTCAGGGCCTTATGCATGCTAGGCAAGTACTCTACCACACAGATGCACCCCTAGCTCCCACCTTATCTTTTAGTAAATTAGAAGCCTGCTCTTGGGCTGCAGAGATGGCTCAGCGGTTAAGAACACTGGTTGTTCTTGCAGAAGACCCAGGTTAGAATCCCAGCACCCACATGGCAGCTAACAACTGTCTGTAACTTCAGTTCCAGGGGATCCGACAGCCTCTTCTGTCCTCCAAGGGGATTGCACGACATGGGTGCGCTTACCTACATGCAGGCAATACACACATGCACATAAAATAAAAATAAATTAAAAAAATAGAAGCCTGCTCTTTACAACAAAACTTTATAGACCTAAAGTTTGTTTTTGTTTTTGTTTTTTTTAATGGGGTAAAATCTATGAAGACAATCCTAACTTACAGTGGTTTTGACTTTACAGTGTGCAAAAGTGAAATGCACTGAGCAGAAACCATACTTTACATTTTGATCTTTTCTTTTTCTTCTTTTTTTGCTCTTTTTGAGACAGGGTCTCCCTGTAACCTCAGCTGGCCTGGAACTCACTATGTAGACCAGACTGGCCTAGAACTCACAGAGATCTTCCTGCCTCTGCTTCCTGAGTGCTGAGATCAAAGGCATGCGCCACCACTCCTGGCTGCATTTTGCTCTTTTCACAGGCTGGGATGGGAGGGAAATTCTCATGAAGCTGGACAGCCTGAGCCCCAAGTCAGCTGTGTGACCTGACCATGAGCCTCTGATACTCTAGTATATTCTACACTGTCCAATAAGTTACATGAGTGATTCAGCACCTTATTATAAAATAAGTTTTGGCTGGAGAGATGGGTCAGTGGTTAAGAGCACTGGCTGTTCTTGCAGAAGACCCAGGTTCAATTCCCAGCCCCCACATGGCAGCTAACAACCACCGGTAACTCCAGTTCTAGGGGATCCAACGCTTTCTTCTGTTCTTAGGTACTGTGGTACTGTATGACATAGGAGCACTATACATGTGCAGGCATAACATGTATACACATAAAATAAAAATAAAAAAAGATTTTTTAATTAAAAAATAAAATGGGTTTTGTGTTAACCAGGCATAGTGGTGTACAACTGTAATCCTAGCACTTAGGGGGTAGAGGCAGGAGGATGAGGAGTTCAGGACCAGCCTCAGTACAGGAGACCCTATCTCCAAAAGAAAAAATGTTTTAGGGTAAATCGTTTTGTTTAACTATTGACTGTCAGTGTTCTGAGCATGTTTTGGGAAAGGTCAGCTGAGTTATGATAAGATTAGATGTATTAAAATGCATTTGAGATTTTTTTGGTTTTGTTTCTGTTTCTTTTCAAGACAAGGTCTTGCTATGTAGCCCAGGTTGGCCTCAAACTCTCACTCATCCTGCCTCATTCTAAGAGCTTTTTTTGGTTGTTGTTGTTGTTGGTTGGCTTTTCAAATAGGAACTCTCATGTAGCCCAGACTGGCCTTGAACTCAAAATGTAGCTGAAGATGACCTTGGACATCCTGCCTCCACCTCCCAAGTGCTGGGATTGCAAGTTGGGTTTTTTGGTTTGTTTGTTTAAAGTATTGATTTATTTTATGTGCATCAGTGTTGTGCCTGCATGTAAGTGCATGTGCATGCGGTGCCCATGGAGGCCAGAAGAAGATACCAGATTTATGTATGTGAGTGCACCCGTGTCATGCCAATGCCGCAGAGGTCAGAAGAGGGAGTTGGATTCCCCTGGAACCGGAGTTAAGGATGGTTCATAGCCACCATGTGGGCACTGGGAACCAAACCTGGGTTTTAGGGGGGAGGCAGTCTTTTTGAGACAGGGTCTCCCTGTAGCCCCAGCTGTCCTGGAACTCACTATGTAGACCAGGTTGGCCTTGAACTCACAGAGATCCCCCTGCCTCTGCCTCCCAAGTGCTGGGATTAAAGGTGTGCTTCCGGCGGCACCATTTTTTTTAAGGATTTTATTTTTATTTTATTTGTGTCTGTGTCTGAAGGGTATGCCATGTGTGTACACGTGCTCAAGGTGGTCAGAAGAGTACATCAGGTCTCCTGAAATTATAGGTGACTATGAGCTATCCAGTGTGCGTTGTTGGGAACTGAACTCAGGTCCTATAAAAGAGCAGCAAGTGCTCTTAGCCACTGAGTCTGAGCCATCTCTTTAGCCCCTCTGCCTTTTTTTTGGTCTTTTTTTGAGACAGGGTCTCCTTGTAGCCATAGGCTGGCCTGGAGCTCACTGTGTAGACCAGGCTGGGCTCAATCTCACAGAGATCTGCCTGTCTCTGCCTCCCAAGTGCTGGGATTAAAGGTATGTGCCACCATGCCCAGCATCTTCCTTATTTTTTAAGACAAGGTCTTTCACTGAACCTGGAATTCACCATTTTGGCTAGACCAGCTGACCAGCAAGCTCCTGGATCTTCCCGTCTCTACACTCTGGCTTTTACGTGGGTCTTCATGCTTGAATAGCAAGCACTTTACCCCTTAAACCATCTGCCAAGCCCCCTCATTCTGTCTTTTTTTTTTTGGTCTTTTTGAGACAGGGTCTCCCTGTAGCCTCAGCTGTCCTGGAACTCACTATGTAGACCAGGCTGGCCTTGAACTCACAGAGATCCGCCTGCCTCTGCCTCCCGAGTGCTGGGACCACAGGCATGCACCACCACGCTCGGGTTTATTATTTAATTTTATGTGTATGAGTGTATTGCCTGCATGTATGTGAGTGCACCCATGCTGTGCAATACTGTGGCGCTCAGAAGAGGGCATCAGATTCCCCTGGAACTGTAGTTAAGGATGGTTTATAGCCGCGATGTGGGTGCTGGGAATTGAACTCAGGTCCTCTGCAAGAGCAGTCAGTGCTCTTAACCACTGAGCCATCTCGCCAGCCCCTTTCCTTCCTTTTTTTCCGTAGGGATTCATTATATAACCCAGACTAGCCTCAAACTCACTGTGTAGTCTTAAGTTGGCCTGGAACTCACAATCCCTGCCTCAGCCTTCTAAGTGCTATATAACAGGCATATGCTACCACCTTGTGCGTCTTCATTTCTTAATATATACCCAGTGTGCGTCTGAGTACATACAAGGATCTTATGAAAAGAACACATAGCTATGTTCTCTGCCTAAAGCCCCCTCCTTGTCTAGCAACATCTCACTGTTACTACCACTTTAGTGTGCCCTGCACTTCTTATCCCCTCTTGCCATAGTTGTAGCTATGCCCCAGAGGCAAGTTGTCATTTCTGAAGAAGTATCTAAGGACAGTAAAAGACTGGATTCAAGACAGAAAGGGAGAAGATGCTGGCATACATTGTTTCACAGGCACCAGGCTAAGCACATTGCTTTCATGGCCTCACCTAATCCAGCCCTACGTGGTATGATCCCCTACTACGGATGAGGAAATGCACAGAGGTTAAGTGACTTGCCCAGCATCACATAGCTGCTGGTGGGTGTGAACCCAGATCTGCTGCCTACACAACCTGTGCTACTTGCCATCTGGCTATGCTGGATTCTGAGTTTGGAGTTTGGAAGTTGATGTACTGTAATAGTCTAGTAAATTCTGCCTAGAATTCTGTGGAAACTCTGGGATATATGTTGTATGGGTATAGCCATTGCTGATAATTGCTTCATTTTTTGTGTTAAGCTCTTTTAATTGTTTACTTCCTAAGAAGAACTTTACATGATTGGTGTTCTTTTAAGGTCTATTAACAACTAGAGAGTGATGCCTCTGAGGAAGGGAACCCTCATTTTCGGTTATAAATTCTTCTAGTAGCTTTTTAAAAATTACGTCACTTTGATTTTATATAATAAGTATTCTGACTACAAAAAAGGGACGTAACTTGTTAATCTCTGAGATATGTTCTTATAAACACAGAACCAACACCTTGTGCCTCTATTCTTCCATTTGAAGGTCCGTAATGAATTTTACAAGGACACGCAGGGTGTGATACTGGTCTATGACGTTGGACAGAAAGACTCCTTTGATGCTCTTGATTCATGGTTGGCAGAAATGAAGCAGGAGCTTGGGCCTCATGGAAATATGGACAATATTGTATTTGTAGTTTGTGCCAACAAGGTAAATGTTTTGGAATTGGTATACTCAAGCAGTGAGTTTTTGGTTACAGTGATAAAAAGCAGAGAGCTGGGCATGGTGACATAGGCCTGTAATCCCAGCATTCAAGGGAGACTGAGGCTGGAGGATCCTGAGTTTGAGGCTATCCGGTGCTGCATAGAGAGTTCTAGGCCAACCTGGGTGACTTAGTGAGACCCTGTTTTCAAACAAATAAACATACACACAGATGCTTACATATAAAGAAGAAAAAAAGAAAAAAGAAAGAAAGAAAAAAGGAGAAAAAATTCCTTATTCTTCAACATAGGAATCAAGAGCCTTTCAAAACATATGTCTCTGAGACAAAAACATAACAAAAATCCCAACTCTAGTCTAACCAGTTTTTTTATTCATATTTTTCTGGTGTCCAACTTGAGAAAGCAGGTTGGGAACTGTACAGGGGAAGCCTAATAATCACATCCTGAGCTGGTGGGAAGGGGCCTTCACCAAGGAGAGCAGAAGATAGGGGGCTGGAGAGATGGCTCAGCAGTTAAGAGTACTTGCTGTTCTTCCAGGGCTTGGGTTCAGCTCCCAGCATTTACATGGTTGCTCACATGATGCCCTTAGAGACACACAGGCACAGACACATACATACAAAATTAAATAAATCTTTTTTTTAAAAAAACGAAAGCAGGGGCTGGAGAAGATGGCTCAGCAGTTAGAGTACTCACTGCTTTTGCAGAGGACCTGGGTTCAATTCCCAGTAGTTAAGGATGGTTCATAGCCACCATGTGGGTGCTGGGAATTGAACCCCAGTACTCTGCAAGAGCAGTCACTACTCTCAACTCCTGAACCATCTCTCCAGCCCTCATTCTTCTTTTATGCTCTGACATTCAATTTGTCTTGAGTCTCTCTTTCTCCTTTTTCTCGCTCTTTTCCTACTGTGTTTCTAAGATGAATTTAAGGCAGTTTACTGAGACCATTGTTCCTAGGGACTCAGGGGTGGTGAATCATGGCCTTTGCTTATGGACCCCAGCTTCTTTCTAGACTTGAGGTTTTGTTCAGAGGTGCTTGGAAGGTGCTCCCACCTTTTTCTTCCTAGAAGCTTCTGCTGGTCTCCAGCCTTAGGGCCTTTCATTGTGTTCTGGTTCCATGCAGAGCAACTCCTGGCTGTGGTGATGTTCCTACTAGTCTTCTATAACAGTGATCGTCAGTCTGACACTTTGCTAGAAGGCTCTATGGGTGACCATGCTAGAATGCCTGGCAGATGGCTGATAGTGACCACTAAGCTGGACTACCCCCTGGCTAGCCCATCCTATATCCTTCCCATAGGCTCTATTCCTCCCAAGTTGTGAAACCCAGCAAAGAACCAGACACCATCCTGTTCCTGTTATCGTTCCTACACATGAGCAAACTGAGGCATGACGGGGCAGAACAGGGGAGGGCCTAGAATTCCTCTCTGCTCCCTACATCTTCTCTTGACCTTTAGGGAAGGGTGAGAAAGGTGGTTGCTGTAGCTGCTGATCATAAATGCTGATCTCTTTCTTTCCTTTCCATTTTTACTTTGAGTCATAAAGAAGATGAACTGCATAGTTTCTGAAACTTCACCTGTGACCCCAGTTAGAAGTGCCTTTAACCTCCAGGTATGGTGGCTCATACCTGAAATTGCTTGCCATGAGTTTGAGGCTAGCCTAGATTACAGAAAAAAACAAAGTACCTTTTACTTGCAACAACAAATATACACAACGAAGGTATTTGCTTTGTGTAATACATGCTATTTTCTGTTCTATTGCATTTAATGTTACTTTAGGACTCATAAGCTGTATTGTGCCCATCTTTCGAGCCTCTTCCACAGTGCAGCATGCCTTTATGTCTTTCCTTGAACTTACCACGGCCTTAGTTGTCTGTACCCACCCCAGGCAGCTCCTCCCTCCAGCGGTGAGCACTTAGACCTTTACTCCACAGCCTGTGCCTGAACAGCTTCTCTTCACTCTGCAGCCACAGCCCTGGTGCCTTTCCCCAGGGAGTCCTCTCATCCCTGTTGTCAGTCCTTCAGCTTCCTGTTGAGTCATTGCCTTCCCCTTAGACACTGGGGGCCAGGTCTGAGGTGCCTTACCCTTGTATTTTAGAACCCTTTGTAGAGGTGAGTTGAAAGGATTGCTTTTCCCCCTTCCCAGATGGCACTGAGATGTCCTATGTAGCCACTTCCTTTCACCTTTCTGCCCTCCACTCCCTAGTTCCTGGCCCAACTGAAGATCATGGACTACAGCCTGCTGGTAGGCATCCACGATGTGGACCGGGCAGAGCAGGAGGAGATGGAAGTGGAAGAGCGGGCAGAGGAGGAGGAGTGTGAGAATGACGGGGTGGGTGGCAGCCTGCTCTGCTCCTATGGCACGCCTCCGGACAGCCCTGGCAACCTCCTCAGCTTCCCCCGGTTCTTCGGCCCTGGAGAGTTTGACCCTTCTGTTGATGTCTATGCCATGAAAAGCCATGAAAGTAAGTGGATCTTGTGCTGCCTCCCTGCCCAGCCCCTACGTCCTTCCATTTACTGGAATTCAGGGTGTTCACATTCCACCTCATTGCTGACTTGCTGCCTCCTGCCTCCAGCCTTCTGTGCCAGGTCACCCCAAGAACTGGAACCTGGGTTCATTCTCTCAGGCCTTCTTTCACCTCTCTGCTTGTCTTGGGTGATAAGGCACAATCCTGCTTTGGTTCATGTGAAAACAGACATTTTTGTGTTGCTGCTTTGGCTCCCCGAGGTAGGACTGTAGAGAACCAACCCTTTATCCTCAGCTCTGGATGATGGGGCTTCGGAGCCTATCTAGAGGTTCTGTGTGTGCCCAGCCACTTTATCCAGAGGTTCTGTGTGTGCCCCAGCCACTTTCTCCTCTCCTGCAGGTGCCCCTAAAAAGGAGGTCTATTTCATGGCCATCATCGACATCCTCACGCCATATGACGCTAAGAAGAAAGCTGCACATGCTGCCAAAACAGTGAAACATGGGGTGAGTTCTCCACCTTCCAGAGCCCAGCCTATTGGAGTGGTCTCTACTCCCCTCAGATCTCTCAGGCCTGCTCTTGGCCTCCTGCTCTAGGAAGGGTGCTCCAGCCCCTCTTCTCAGCAGAGAAGAGGAAGAGCAGCCTGTTTGCCTTGCCTTGTGCTCCCTGCCTTTTCTACCCTGTCTCCCAAACCAGGTAATGTTTTCCCAGGAGTTCTCTGATCTTTGGGCCTAAGCTGCCAGCTCCTTTCCCCAGGGGCTGCTGGGCATGTTGTGCATCTTGTTGTATGGCCAAGAATAGCTTTGTTTACGTGCTCACACTGCTCCCCACAGGCTTGAAGCTACTGTTCTGCACATGTAGTCCCCCCGCCCCCAGAGATGGGGCCTCTGTGCTACCTCCTCATTGCATTTCTACTACAGTGAGATATCAGAGGAGCTGGCCAGGACAACTCTGCCGTGTAAACCACTTCCTGACCTGGCCTGACGTGGCCGGCCGGGGGGTGGGAGGGTTGTCGTGTTTATCCCTAGTGCCGAATAACAGTCTCACAGTCTCATAGCTTAATGGTACATGTCTAATCTCAGGAGGATTATGAGTTCAAGGTCAGCATTGCCCAAAACTATTTAAAAAAAAAAAAAGTTTCATGTCTAAGATCAAGTGTTTTTAAAAATAAATAGACAAAAAGGCTCTAGAAGACTCTGTCCCCTTCAGGTGCAGCCTCCTGGTTTCCTGGTCTAAAGATCTGACTTTAGTTCATATCTTGTGTGTTACAGGCAGGGGCAGAGATCTCGACTGTGAACCCGGAGCAGTACTCCAAACGCTTCAACGAGTTCATGTCTAACATCCTGACGTAGTAGTTATCTCTACCTTCAGCCAGAGCCAGACTGCTGGAATGGGGTCGGGGAGAGGGAAAGGGTGTATTTGGGCTGGAAGGGAGGGTGGGGAGCAGAGTGGGGGGTCAAGAGGGCTTTAATCATGAGACTGCAGCCTGTGACAGAGTGACTTTAGCAAGGAGAAGAGCGTGTTATGTGTGCACGTGCTCACAGGATATGACCTTACCTTCTGCTTGCCCTTATTATTTTTTTCCTCCTATTTGACCCTGGTTAAAAGGGGTTCCATTTTTTTGGTATCTTTGTAACCTTTTATGATACCTTGGAGCTAGAGACAACTGTGGGTTTATTTGGGTTTATTTCTGAAATTTGTTGCTCCAGGTTTGCTATTTATAATGGTGTATGTCATCACCCTAGCCACCCTCCCCATCCCAACCTAGCTCTCAGTTCCCTTCAATTAGAGGCACCTCACATGCCCAGCACAAGGGGCCACAAACAGATGCTCTGATACAAGAAGAGGTCAAATACGTCAGTCCTGCCACATTCTGATCTTACCTGGATGGACTTTTCAGTTTCCTGGAGTATTGTGCATAATTCCCTCCATGTTTCCACCTTGGATCCAAGTGAAATAATGTTTGCTCCTCCATCCTGTCCTCCCAAAGGAACACTGCAGGTCGACCCTGACATCTTGGACCAGAGGTCTCAGAGGGGAGCAGGTTCATCCTCATGAGATGGTGAGGGGCCAGGGAATGGCTGGGCCCTCAGACAGCTGGTTCTCAAAGAACCCAGTGATCACCACCCAAGCCACCTGCACCTCTGACCTGGAATTCTGATGTTCTGTCAAGCCTGCTTCCCACTGGCTCAAGGGAAACTAGAAATCACTTTTGGATATATCAGGACCCTTGTGGTTCAATGGTTATTTCCCTTTGGGAAAAATCCCAGAAGCCAATGTGTATCAAATGAGGTCTTGTGTGAATCATCCATTTCCTTCCTCCTGACCTCCAGCTGCAGCACCTGTAGCTGGCATATGGCCAGGGGCAGAGCCCTAAGCACTGGGTGCTCATTGCAGAGACACCACTCCAAGCCCCAGCCTACCATGTAGGTGTCTGGCTCCCTGTGCCTGTTGTTTCTTACCTGGACGGTTACAGCCAGCAAGGTGCTCCACCTGAGGTTGCTTGAGTCACTTGAGGATGTGACCCAGGAAATCCTATTCGGAGGCCTGATGTGGAGCTTGACCCATCCCCAGTCTCGGGGCTGATTCTCCTTGTGGCCCCCCAACCCTACTTCTCTGCAGCCTACAAGGCCTCCCTGGAAGGAGTGACATCCTGCAGCTTCCTTCAGGCTTTCGGCCCAGGCTCTCAGAAATGAGCTACAATTCTGATGCCTCCAGAACAACTGGTTACTAGGAAGGAAGGTGGCCCTACAGCTTCACACTGGGGGAGGTATATTCCCACCTCCAACTATACCCTAAGAAGGAATCAGGAATTTGGGGTGAGATGGCAAAATTTGTAGATAACCCCAAAGATGTGAAGCTGGTCTGTGGAACTATCTGGATGAATAGATGGTTTCAAATGGCTCCCTCCAAAACTGACCGAGCCCAGCTTCAGGAGCTGGAGCTACTGCGCTGTCCTCCCCACCCAGCACTACTAGGTCAGATGTTCTTGATCTCTGGGGCTGCCGCCTTGGCAGGTGGGGGCAAGATCCCTTCCCTGGCCCCAAGAAGGGCATAGATAGTTCCAAACTACATGGTTCATGGAGAAACAATTTTAATTTAGGAAAGGAATTACATAGGAATAATGTCTGGACTTGATTTCCCCACCTCACAATCAAGAGTAAAAACCTGGATCTCTTCCCAGGCTGGCCCATCAGCTCCCACTTGGAAGCTGCAACAGCTTTACAGCTCTGTGGCTTCTGGGCCTTTGGTCTGCTGATCTTGTCATGTGTGTGAAGTGTAACACAATCTTAATCAAAGCAAGGGCCAGGTATCTAACTTGTTTAACATGGACTTTTTGTGTGTTTTTTTTTTTTTTTAAATATTGTTTACAATTTTGAGAGGTAGCATTCTGTTTCAATGCTCTTTGTTTTTCTGACAGTATTGTTGATTGGGTCAAAATATTTGAGCTGTGGTTTGGTGGATTTTAGTTTTTTTAAAAGGTCATCTGTGCTATCTATAAAACCTTGGGTTTGGCCCTCAAATTCCTTTGACATTCATGTTTAAAAGCTATTTATCTTGGTTCATACTAGTTTTCTTTCTTTTTTGGTGATGACAAAGATGTGCTATTTGGCTTCAGTCTGAAAGTGAACTAACCACACTCTCCCCCCATTTATCTGTTCCTTCTTTTCTGAGTCATGCTGTTCACTTTCTGGGCCGCAGGTGTATTGAGGGTTAGTAAAGGCCTCTGACCTCACGCCCCAGGGCCAAGAAGAGCAGCTAACCATCCAAAATAATACTGGGTCTTCCAGGAACAGAGGTATAAGAATAAAGACAGGGTGAGGCCTAGATGGGGGAAAAGGGCAGAGTTTGTTCTCATTCCCTCATCCTGCCACTTCCTCTGTGTAGCATCTAGTCACAGCTTCCTGGGTCCCCATTCCCCCTGTGGAAAGTCTGAAGCTAAGAAAGTGCGTCTCACAACCAGCTGAAATGAGGGATGCTTTGAAAACTGCAGACAGACATCAGGTGTCCCTAGCACAAGCCCTTCCCTGAGGCTTACATCCAGAAAGTAGCTCTAGGAGTACAGTTCCACAGTGCTCAATCTCTCCTTATCTAGCTCAGGGGTTACTGGTCTGTGGCTGGTGCCATGAGGGGCCCCTGCGGCTGTTCTCAGTGGCACTGAAGTTCCCCACAGGCAGTTCTTCCTTCCCAGCCTTCTTCCTGCTTCACTTTTCTCCACCCTGGTCTCTAGGCCTGAACAGGTCCCCTAGCAGTGCTCAAGGCACGAGACTGGACTTCTACCCTGAGACTTCCTCTCTTCACAGTGTGCCAGGCTTGCCCTGGGGAGGTGGACCAGAGACCCAGGACTTTCTCAGTAGCCAATCCCACCCCCCAGTTGTCTTTTTTCTTTTTTTTTTTAAAATCAATTCAGGTTGAGAGGGAGAAAACATTAGCTGTCTCTGACACCTGAGTTACTCAGAGTGTTGGGGGCAGAAGGGACAGTGTACTTACCCCTCAGAGTTCTGGCCTTAGACCTATGGTTTCTTCAAGCTTAGAGACCTCACCTCTTTGCAACAGTAATGTGGGCATGGGGGGGGCATCCACAAAGGGAAAAATTTAGACACCCCAAAATCTGCCAGCCATGGTCCTGCCCTCTGAAATGTGCCAGTTAGGAAGAGTGACTCCAAGGGAAAGGAGACTCAGCTGTCCCTCCACAGGAAGGAGGCTGGGGAGACAACTTCTAGAAGAGCCCTTACCTTGCTCACAGCCATTCTGCGAGGTAGGTGCCCACAGCTTTGGGGGGAGGCAGTTTGCTCAGCACACTGCAGCAGCAGCTCAGAGCACTGAACACGTAAAATGTGAATGCAGTCTGGAGTCACCTTTGGGGAAACAGGATTAAAACTACCCCCTACCACATGTGACTTCTTCATTTCCCACTGTAAGTTCCATTTTTAAAATAGGAATTCTCAGCTTCCTGTGCTTGTCTAACGTCTGCTCTAAACAGTTCAAGACTCTGTTACTGTTTTAAAATGCATGCATGTTAAAATGAATCTCCAACCCGAGAAAAAATAAAACTCAAAAGCTTTGTGTACATCTGGTATGTGTGAATCCTTTGGAGATACCCTCCCCCTCTTCAGAGTTAAAATGCTTTTGTCCCAGTTTTAGAAGTAGCTCGGGCAAAATCAGTGTATGGTTGAGAGGTGGAATGTGGCAACAGCCCTCTTTGAGATACAATTAATATATGATGTTAAGATCACAGCACTGGGGGGCTGGAGAGATGGCTCTGCAGTTGAGTACATACTGCCCCTGCAGACCTGAGTTCAGTTTCCAGCATCCACATTTGGTAGCTCACAACCACCTATAACTTGAGCTTCAGGGGGATCCAAGGCTTCTGTGGGCACTGCACTCATACACACATACCACACATGAAATTAAAAATCTTTTTTTTTAAAAAAAGAACAAATCAGAGCTGAGAGCACTGGCTGCTTTGCAGAGGATCTGGGTTCAGTTCCTAGCACCCACATGGTAGCAAGAGGATCCAATGCCCTTGTCTAGCCTCCACGGTGTATTCACATGGTGCACTTACATACATGCAGGCAAAACACTCATAAAATAGAAATATAACAACAAAAAAAATCACAGAGTACTGGATGTGCATGGTGGCACATACCTTTAATCCCTGTACCCAGGAGGCAGAGGCAGGTAGATCTCTGTAAGATCAAGCCCAGCCTAGTCTACAAAGTTCGGAGCCAGCTGGGGCTACAGGGAGACCCTGTGTCAAAAAGATCAATCAATCAATCAATAAAGTAAAATTAAAATAAATCACAGTACTGGGGATACCTACCAGATGTCATTATCAGGTACCACTGCTCCTCCCTCAAGTCTTCAACTGTGGGGGACAGATAATGCACACCCCAACTGGCTACATGGCTTTGAACATGCACCTTTGTGTGCCTCAGGCTCTCTATTTGGATTTGTAGTCTCAAGTCTAGTACTTGGACTGGGGGTATGATAGAGCTCTTGTCTAGCATGTGCAAGGTCCTGAGTTCTATTCCCAGCATTGCTAAACAAAAAGCTCAGTAGTTCTCAGTGTGGTCATGGACCAGCAGTTATCAGTAGCACTTGGGATTCAAAAACAAACTCTCAGGTCTTGTCTCAGATGAGTCAGAAAAACAAAAACCCTACTATAGTTGTGTGTACCTAGAACCCTGACAACACAGAGGTAAAGTAGGAAGGACACTGGAGCCTGGAAGGAAGACCGGGCTGGGCTGTGGCTTAGTGGCAGAATGCTGCCTAGCACACACAAGGCCTTGGGTTTGATTCTCCAGCATTACAAAAAAAATTTTTTTTTTTAAATAGAGATATGTCTTAATGGGCTTTCCAGATGATTCAGAGGCTACTTGGGAACCATGCAGACATCCACGTATTGGGGCATCTTCTGCAGGTTGCAAGCTGAGCCTACTTGAGAATTTCAGAACCCTAACAGGTCAATGAAACCAGCACCTTGGAGGTGGTGATCACAAAATCCATGTTCCCAAGCCTCCCGGGTGATGACTATGCAGATAAGGAAAGAATACTGACCTAGATCACTTGTGAGTCCTTGGCCAAATTCCTACTGGAATGCTGGGGAATGGTAAAAGAAGACCTGCATAGTTCAATGGAAGAGGTTTTTCGGGGCAAATGGAGGGGGTTGGTATCCTTGCTTTACCATTTAGTAAAGTAAGTTTGGACACTTATTTAACTGCTTTTCATCCCTAAATAAGGTTACTGTTAACTGCCTTGACTCATTATGATAACTGAATTCTATAATGTGTAAAGCATTTGTGTTTGGTCTAGCACAGCACAGGCATCCACTGGCAACTAGCAGACACCCCCATGTGTGGCAAGGCAAAAAGAAAACCCAGAATTTGGGGGGTATAATTAGTGACAGTGTGCACTTAGCATGTGCGAGGTTCTGAGTTCAATTTCCAGCACCAAAAAGGAAAACCCAAGGAGGACCAAGATCAACCCTGAGTATCTATCTCTGTGTCCTGGACCCTGGTGGGAAGCTGTGGGAAGGCACTGAAGATAAGTGGGGCTGAAAGAAGGACCATTTTATTAAAAAGAAAAACAAAAAGAACAACAACAAAACCTGGGTTCTGGGAAAAGGGTTAGTCCATTCGGGCCTTCAGTGTCCTGGTGGTGATCTTGTCCTTCTCACTGTTGAGAAAAATGACAAAAAACATGTATACAGCCTGCCTGCCTGCGTCCCCCTCCAGCCAGCTTTTCATCCCTAAATAAGGTTACTGTTAACCGCCTTGACTCATTATGATAACTGAATTCTATAATGTGTAAAGCATTTTGTGTTTGGTCTAGCACAGCACAGGCATCCACTGGCAACTAGCAGACACCCCCATGTGTGGCAAGGCAAAAAGAAAACCCAGAATTGGGGGCGTATAATTAGTGACAGTGTGCACTTAGCATCCAGTTAGGATGGCTTCTCCCCACATTCTAAAGGCAAATTCTCAGTCTTTATCAAGGGACACAGTAAAATCACTGTTCTGTGTCTGCACTGATAGGTGTCATCACCTAGTTTAAACAGAACACACAAAACAAAACCTTACCTAAGGAATTTCTTTCTGAATAGTGCTAGGCAGAAAGAAAGAAAGAAAGAAAGAAAGAAAGAAAGAAAGAAAGAAAGAAAGAAAGAAAGAAAGAGAAAGAGAGAGGGAGAGAGAAAGAAAGAAAGAAAGAAAGAAAGAAAGAAAGAAAGAAAAAAAAGAAAGAAAAAAGAAAGAAAGAGAAAGAAGAAAGAAAAAAAGAAAGAAAGAAAGAAAGAAAGAAAGAAAGAAAGAAAGAAAGAAAGAAAGAAAGAAAGAAAAAGAAAAACAAAAACAAAAAGAACAGAACCTGGGTTCTGGGAAAAGGGTTAGTCCATTCAGGCCTTCAGTGCCAGGATACCTGGCTTCTGTCACCATACCCTGCTTCCAATGGCAGCTTTCTGAGCTCACATCTGACCAGGGCTTAGAAGACAAATGATATACTTAGGAGGAAGGAGACGCAAGGATCTGTGAAGTTTCTAGAATTCCCCCAACTCATACTCACATGATGTGGACAATGACCCCCATGCCTGACACCGCATCCCGGTCCACAGCATTCAGCATGGCTTGGGAGATGGTTTCAAACAGGTGTTCGGGATCCTGCCAACAGAGCACAACTCTTTCAGATCTAGGACGCGTTCTGGCTCCTCAAGACCTCTGCTTTCTGGACTCCAGCTGCCCTGGTCTAGCCCCTGCCATGCCTGATGTGAGAGCTGGTTCCTTGGATATAAGAACCACTCAGCTCCTTCCTCAGGAGGGAGCATGATGACATATACTTCAGACCTGCTGTGTGACCTTGTCTTTCCACAGAGCCTTCTGTAAAACGAGGAGACTCTGTAAAACGAGGAGACTCTGTACTTGGCTCTGATGTACTTGGCTTCTCAGCTGCCCGAGACTCTCCTGGATGTTCCAAAGGCACCTCAAAACTCAACCTAGCCAATCTTATGAGCCCACCCCTCCAACCTGCCCCTTTGTCTGCATTTCCATCTTAGACTCCCACTCCTTGACTCTGGCTGCACTTCTTTTGCCACTCAGCACCTTGGGGCCTCCCGCAGGTGACCAGAAGCTGTCACAGCAGCTGTAGCCCTGATTCCTCAAGTCCTTCAACTGAAAGAGAGCATTTCGACTCCGCATGGTGTTCAAGGCCTCATCCCACTCTCCATCTCCAGTGTTACCTCATCACACTCTCCCACCATAGATACTCCCAGCTCACTAAACACACCTGACCCCACCTGTACCCCAGCACAGGGTGTTCTGCCTGCCACCAGGCCCTCTCTATCCCCCTCTTCCCAGCACACTTCACTCAAACAAGTCCGTACCTGAGTGTCTATCTTGCTTTGCTAGATGGCACTAAGCCCTTGAAGTCACGCTGTACCTGGCTTCCCCCAAGCCTGGCAGAACCGGTACACAGGAACGGCCACGACTCCCTGTGAAGCACTGCTCTAGTCTTTCCTTGTGCTTTCCTCAGTGACTTGTCTGAGGCAGGTTCCCTTTCACAGCTGAGATAATGGGGGCAGAATGGGGTTGACTGACTTACACAAGAACAGTTTATATTTCAGACAACCCAGCTCTAGGGTTGTACACCCACTCTGGTGCCACTGCTCTTGTTAGACACCAGAAACAATGTGAGGCTGTAGAAAACATGTGACCAGGGCCTCCAAACAGAGGCTGCTGTCCTTTGGGCCAGTCAACCCTGATGTGGCTTCTGGAAACCCTCCCAAGGAGCAGAAGCTCTGGCCTGTTCTCCTTCCACACCTTTCTCCCCACTACATGCTATACAAACACATTTTGTCTCTGATGGCCAAGGGCTACTTCAGAGGCCAGCCTTGCTACATGCTGCCAACTCACCATGTTGGGCTCCCAGAGAGACTCGCACATCCCATACATTTGTTCAGAGCAGGTGCCACTGACTACAAAATCGTCAGTAACCATGGGGCAGCCGATGAGGTCTAGAGAGCAAATGAAGGGCTTAAAGGTCTTCGGGTCCAACCCAGCAATGACTGGTTCCGTGTAGTAGGGGCCAAACCTGTGAGGCCAGGAGAGAGAAACTAGAATTCAAGAGTGCTTGCTTTCATATACAGGCCTGTTCAGATGAGGAAGGCTACAGATGGAAGGACCATGGAGCATCCTGCCTGCTCTGGTCAGCCCTTTGCCTCTCTCTCCTGGCATTTTGTAGTGTTCTAAGATGTGTACACCCTCTTCTCTGACACTTGCTTCATAGCTCTCTTCCTCCTGGCTCCCCCTTCCTTTTCTTTCTGTGTAAGGCTAGGGTTCTTTCTAAGCACCAGGAAGAAAAACACAAGCAAAAAATGAGCTTGAAAGTGAAGAAGCAATGGGAATAGGACTGCCCCGGCCGCCCCCCGGCCCCAGCTCAGCCAGGGATGCATGTCAGCAGGCCAGGTGTGAACTTGCTATGTAGCAGACTGAACTCTTGATCTTCCTGTGGAATTACAGGTGTGTGTCACCATGCCCAGGCCAAGTAAGATAGTTTGATCCAGAGTTTCTCTTTTTTTTTTTTTTTTTTTTGTCATTTTGAGACAAGGTCTCCCTGTAGCTCCAGCTGGCCTGGAACTCACTTGTAGACCAGGCTGGCCTTGAACTCACAGAGATCCACCTGCCTCTACCTCCCGAGTGCTGGGATTAAAGGTGTGCACCACCACGCCCAGATGCTTTTTTTTAAAATTAAAGATGTATTTTATTTTCAATTACATGTTTATGTGTGGGTCTGTGCACATTAGCGCAAGCACCCATGGAAGCCAGAGGCATTATGATCCAGGGGTTTTCAAACTTCCTGAGTATCAGTTTCTATAAGAAATTTTAAATTGGGGGCTGGAAAGATGGCTCAGCAGTTAAGAGTACCTGCTGCTCTCCCAGAGGAACTGAGTTCAGTTCCTAGCACCCATGTCCGGCAGCTCACAACTGCCTGTAACTCCAGTTCCAGAGAATTCAATACTCTCTTCTGGCCTCCCTGCACATAAATAAAAATATAAAAGATACATTTTTATTTTATTTTATATTTCCTTTGAAGAAACTTTTCCAAATGATGAAGAGTTTCATTTTGAAAGCTAAAGGGTATTTTTACAGGGGCTTAGAGACAGCTTAGTCATAAAGTGCTTGCCACACAAACATGAGAACCTGAGTTTAGCCCCCAGAACCCATGTAAAACAGCTGGGCAAGGTGGTACAGTGCTGAGAGGCGGAGAAAGGCAGACTCCCTAGAGCTCGTTGTCCAGACAGGTGACCCTACTTGACAGGCTCTAGGCCAGTGAGGGATCATGTCTCAAAGAAACAAGGTCAGGTTGCAGAGCAACAACACCTACAATTGCCTCTAGCCTCCACACTTATATACACATAAGTACATGGGCATCTACCTGTGCATGCACGCACACACCAGAGTAATTTTTTTTTTTTGGTCTTTTTGAGACAGGATCTCCCTGTAACCCCAGCTAACCTGGAATTTGCTATGTAGACTAGGCTAGCCTTGAACTCACAGAGATCTGCCTGCTTCTGCCTCCTGGGACTAAAGGCGTGTGCCACCATGCCCATTTAAGATTTATTTTTATTGGGGCTGGAAAGATGGCTCAGTGGTTAACAGCACTGGCTGTTCTTGCAGAAGACCGGGGATTTGGTTCCCAGCACCCATATGGCAGCTAACAACTATCTGTAACTCCAGTTCCAGGAGTTCTGGGAACACTGCATGACATGGGTGTACTTATATATGTACAGATAATATACTCATACACATAAAATAAAAATAATAAAGGGGCTGGAGAGATGGCTCAGTGGTTAAGAGCACTGACTGCTCTTGCAGAGGATCTGGGTTCAATTCTCAGCACCCACATGGCAGCTAACAACTGTCCATAACTCCAGCTCCTGGTAATCTGATGCCTTCTTCTGACCTCCATGGGCATTGCACAACATGGTTGCACTTACATACATGCAGGCAATATACTCAATACACATAAAATAAAAAGTAATAATAAAAATAAAATATTTTTAAAATATATTTTCTTATTTTCAATTGTGTGTGTTTGTATGTAGGTATATGCACGTGACTGCAGGTGCCTGCTGAGACCAGAGATATCAGATCCCCCTGGAGCTGGAGTAGCAAACAGTTGTGAGTCACCCAATGTGAGTGTTGGGAACTGAACTGGGGTCCTCTGCAAGAGCAGTATACATTCTTAACTGCTGAACTATGTCTCCATCACTTTTTTTTTTTCACAACTTTTCTATAAAGTCTAAATGCACTTCAAAATAAAAGGTTAAGGAAAACAACAACAAAAATATTTCACCTTATATCCTGGTTACCTAGCGGTGGGAGGAAAAAAGACACCTAAAGGCGTCCTAGCTTCACCTCAGCTTCTGTGTGGGATTTTACCAACAGAAACAACAAACCAACTCCTAGCCTCCAGTGCGAGTGCCAGTCCTGGGCTGTGAGACCCCAGAACCGTCTTCGGTGGAGTCACAAGCAAGGTCATGTGCTAGCTCAATTCCCTGCTTTCTTTTGAAGTCAGTCTTTTTTCTGATTTGGTTACACAGATATATTAAATAAGGACACTGCCCTGCAAATAAGACATGGGAGGACAGCACCTATAATCCCACACTCTGAGGCAGAGGCAGAAGAATTGCCACAACTTCAAGCCCGGCCTGGTCTATATATGTATAGCAAGTTGCAGGCTAGCCAGGACTCTAGAGTGAGATCCTATCACATCCAGGAAGGAATGAAGGGAAGGAGAGAAGAAAAGTAAGGTGAGAAAAAGAAAAAAAGGGAGACCAGGGAGAAACTTGACTTCCCAGGGCTCCTCCACCAAACAGGCTTCTGAGTCCTGAGTTCTAGGCTCCCCTTCCACTCACCGTTTCTCATACAAAAGGTTGGCCACCATGCTCATGAGGGTGTAAGGCTTGATCTGCCGACCTTCCTTTAACTCATACAGGTTCAGCCGGAACTTGAGGCGCTGGGCGCTGTGGCAGAAGAAGCAAGTAAGTCACTGCTAAATGTCTTATAATGTTCATCCTGTGGCACTCAGAGGTAACACAAGGAGACATAAAATTTCTGTCCTTGCAGAGGAATCTGCCAAGTCTCATCCATATTAAGCAACAACTGCTATGTTCACTGATGATAAGGTGTATAGGAAAGAAGGCCTGTCTCCGCCAGGGCCACTCAGAGCCCCAGGACAGACCTCGGCATAGAGCCAACCAATGCCACCCCTAGTGAGAACCAAGCAGGGATTCCCAGGACACAGGAACAAAGAGTCTTAGAGACAAAATTAGCAACATCTTACAGGTAAGGAAATTGTGGCTTAGTGAAATAGCAAGGTGAGAAGTGATTCTAGGAAGATGGAAACACGGTAAAGGAGAAAGGAGGGCTGCTGAAGCCTCAGCGCTGAGAGAACCCCATGGAATTCTGTGCTTCAGAGAGAAGCAAGAGACTTGGCAAGCTTTCCTGGTAAGCTTCCCCCTCATCAATGAGCTAGTCTCCCAACCTTTTATGACCTCCAGGGTATTCCTGCAACCACACATTCCCTCTAAAAATCTTATCCCAAATGTTTCTTTCTTTCTCTCTCTCTCTCTTTTTTTTTTTGGTCTTTTTGAGACAGGGTCTCCCTATAGCCTCAACTGGCCTGGAGCTTGCTATGTAGACCAGGCTGGACTTAAACTCACAGAGATCCACTTGCCTCTGCCTTCCAAGTGCTGGGATTAAAGGCGTGTGCCACCACGCCTAGTGTCTTGCCAAATCTTTCTTTCTTCTTCTTCTTTTTTTTTTTTTGGTATTTTTGAGACAAGGTCTCCCTATAGCCCCAGCTGACCTGGAACTCGCTATGTAGACCAGGCTAGCCTTAAACTCAGAGATCCACCTGCCTCTGCCTCCCAAGTGCTGGGACTAAAGGCGTGCGCCACCATGCCCAGCACCTCTTTTTTTAAATGTTTTATTGTGTGTGTGCGGGGGGGCGGTGCACCACAGTATGGATTTGGAGGTCAGAGGACAACTTGAGAGTCAGTCCTCTCCTATCACGTGGGTCCCAGGGATCAAATTCAGGTCATCAGGCTTGGTGACAAGTACCTTTACCCACTAAGCCATCTCTCTGGCCCTTCCCTCTCCTTTTCTGACTTCTCTTCCTTCCATCGCTGAGAAAAATAAGGCTCATTTCCCCAAGTGCAGCTCATTGCTCCCTGTCCATACTGTCTCTGTACACTCTGCTCCCGTAAATTCAACACATCCCCAAGGCCTATCCAGTCCTGAGGTATAACTTCAAAATCCCACCTGTTTGCCAGCTATTTCTATTAAGCTTGCCACCTTGGCCCCACAAAACTGATGTCAGAAAAGTTGCTGTGGGGCTGGAGAGATGACTCAGGAGTTAAGAACACTGGTTGTTCTTACAGAACCTGGGTTCAAAGCCCAGCACCCACATGGCAGCTAACAACTATCCATAACTCCAGTTCCAGGGGATCTGACAGCCTCTTCTGTCTTCTGTGGGCATTGCACAACATGGGTGCACTTACCTACATGCAGGCAATACACTCATACACATAAAATAAAAATAATAATTTAAGCCGGGCGTGGTGGCACACGCCTTTAATCCCAGCACTCGGGAGGCAGAGGCAAGCAGATCTCTGTGAGTTCAAGGCCAGCCTGGTCTACATAGTGAGTTCCAGGACAGCTGAGGCTACACAGGGAGACCCTGTCTCAAAAAGACAAAAGAAAAAAATTAAAAAAAAAAGAAAAGTTGCTGCTCTTCCCAATAAAAGTAGTCTTCCTAACTCCTCTATTTCAGTCCACATGCTCAAAACAGGAATTGTCTTGGAAATTTCACGGGGCTGCTGACATGCCAGGTACTAGACTGGCTAGAGTACAGTTGTCCCTCAGGATCCATGGAGACTGGTTCCAGGATTCCCCACAGATGCCAAAATACAGTAAGGCCAATTCCTTGTATTAAATGGCACTGTGTTTACGAACCATGTATGCACAACCTTCCCCTGTGTTTTTAATCATTCCTAGATTACTTACTATGCCTAAAACAATGTAAACACTTATAAACAGTTCTACCTCAGTGTTTAGAGACTAATGACAAGAGAAAAAGTACATGTTCAGTAGAGATGCAATCTTTTTCCCCAAATTCATATGCAACCCCACACCCTCAGCTTTTTGAGATAGGGTCTCACTCTGTACACCAGACTGACCTGGAACTCACAAGGTAGTCTAGCTGGCCTTGAGGTAGATACAATTTTCCCGTTTCAGCCTCCCTAGTGCTGGGATTACAAGCATGAGCCACTGTGACCATTTTTAAATTTTTATTAATGCTAGAGACTGAACCCAGGACATTGTGCATGCTAACATATACTCTATACTGAACTATATTTCCATTCCAGCAGAATGTTCTTCATGCAAGCTGGTTCAATCTGAGGATGCAGAATCTGGATATAGAGGGAGGATCATACTACAGAAAAAATAGACACAGGGGCTGAAAGTATAGCTTAACAGCATCCCACATGCTTAAGTATTTTAGAGGCAGTCCTGGATTCAATTCCCAGTATGGGGGTAGGAGGGAAGACGAGTCTTGACCTCAATGAGTGAATGAATCTTTCTTTGGCCCCACAATATTCAGGTAACCACTAAGGCTAGTCAGCAACAAATCACTAAGCCCATCCTTGGGCCAATGAGATGACTCAGCAGATAAAGACACCTGCCACCAAGCTTAATGACCTGAATTCTATCCCTGCGACTCACATGATGGAAGGAAAGAACTGACTCCTGCAAATTGTCCTCTGACCTCCATACATATGCTGTAGCACTTTGGCATGCACACATAAACACAAATAAATGTGATAAAAAAATAAGTCCATCTTTGCTTTCCCACCACCAATCCCAGCAATCGTAACTGTCACACTTGGGTCATCACAAACAGTGCTCTGTTTTTCTCTCAGATAGCATAACCACTGGAGCTAGGTGAATAGGCTGGCAGTTAATATCCATACCAGCTAGCTCATCAGGAGTTAAGTTATCTTTCTGTTGCCTGCTTTGTCTGCCACCTAGACCCAGGTCCTTCCAGACTGAGCACAGCCTTTGGCTTCAGGAAGACTGCATTGGGATCCTAGCTGATATTCACCAACTTGCATCTTGAGCAGGAGACTCTCTGCGACTCTCTACTTCTTCATCTGCAAAATGGGGCAGCTAGTCAGTAATATCAAGAAGATTAAATAGCTCCCTGACAAAGCTACTTTCCACACAGCCCAGCAGGAGTACTGGTAAAGATAGCTTGGGACTCATACATTACTGTGGTGTCCAACAAAGTCTCAGACCCACTGGTGGTGTTTGGCAGATGGTTGACACCAGGCTTCTCAAGACCAGGCAAGGCTGGTCAAAGAAGGGGCCTGGATGAAGGTGAGAGTCACTTACACTGTCTGGACGTCGGTGGCAAGCCCGGCCAGGCCGATGTACAGCCTATCACCCATGGGAAAGATCTTCTGGAAGTCCGTTGTTACCATCTGGGCCTGGATTCCGAAGCGCCTGTCTGCAGCGATGGCCACACAGTTCTTTCCCTTCATAGCCATGACGGCCCCTCCATTATAGGACATAATAGACTGGGGGCCAGACAAAGCAAAGAGGCTCAATTCGAAGTGCTAAATGCTGTCATAACCCTGGGCCCATTCCCACATTCCAAGGTTCATATACGCCGTGTTTGCTGCTTTGGAGGCTCCTGGATGCCCCGAGTTCCAGCTCTGCGATGGATCCTGTGGGGCACCCAGAAACCGCACTCATCTCCATGGTCCTCCCCGCGGTCGGCTTCCTTCCATCGACCACCAGGCCCTTTCCGCCCCTAATCCTGGCCTTACCCCTCCCATGTTTTTCAATTCCCACTCCACACTTCTTTCCCTCGCCTTCCAATCTCACCATGATTGCAGAGTTCTGGGACCCCCGATCGCCACTGCAATTTCAGTAAATGGGCACTGACTTTCCTTGTGCCGGCGCTCTCGCTGAGCCTTCCCCATTGGCTGGCAGGCCGGCTCTGCGGACCAGATGAGCTTCCTATTGGTTAGAAATACCGTCAGTCACCAGTATGAATAGTTTGGTTGAGAGGCCAAAACTGAGTCGGGCGAAGCGCAAAGTGAAAAGTCACCCTGTGTGCGGA